TGATACATGATACATACATGAACATACCTATAGGATAGTTTTTACTGCGGGTAAATATCTCTTCTCTGAGGAATATATACTAAACGGTAAAAAGTAAGTAGGGACGAACCCGAGGGAGCGAGGATGAGTCGCTACTAGGCTATATATCATCATGCTACTATCCAAGAGAGTGGATCATTAATGATAAATGTCAACAAATCAGGCAGACCCATACATTACTACAAAGGGAAGGGACAAGGGACGAATCCGAGCGAAGCGAGGACAAGTCGCTTGTAATAATTTCGAATAGTTACTCTAAAAGGGAAGTGCATATGATGTCTGACATGCAGAATAATAACGTGAAACATACAAACGCTTTTCACACAGTTGAAATGTCATTGTCATCTCAAAGTCTTAATGTTTGTGTCTTTGATTTAGAAGTAGTGAATCCAGTAGCAATACTGACAACAATATTTTAAACATGAATTTGGAATCTGAGTAGATTTCTTAAGACTAAAATTTTGATTCACGTTTTGTGTTCAGTTCTTTTGGTCGTAGGGCATAAGCCTCTCTCCAATACGAGAGGCATCAGGCCTTAGTCCACCACGCTGGCCAAGTGCAGGTTGGCGGACTTCACATGTCTTTCGAAAAAGTTGTTTTCCTTCGCCGTAAGACAAGCGGTACTCATATTGAAAATGATTCGCACACAAAATATTAGGCGCAAGACTCGAGATTTGTACCCGTTTAACTCGGTTTCGCAACTGGTTCCAATGGGCCCACATACGTTATTGAGGTATTATTACGTTGAGGTTGAGGGTGTTAGTGTTAAATTAATTGAAAAACTTTTCTATGTATGATGCCTTCTTGTCTGTATATTCTAAAAGAAGTGCTAAAACAATAATTAATATATAATCTACTAGTCTTTGAATTTCATATAGTACCTCTCGTATATCAAATTATGTCCAAAAACAGCTCATGACATTGCTATATTTTCCAAGTAATAATATTTGTTAGCATAGATTTAGCTATTTACCTAGTCAAAGTTACATATATGTATGTACTAAGTAAACTATTTTCATTTTAACTCGACAATATGAAGGACGAAACTTTGTATAATTTCATGGTTCACATACGTATAATTAAACAGGACTGTTTATAAAATACAAACTGGCAATATTAAACGACAAACTAGAATTGGTAGTTTACAAGGAAAATGTCAATGACTAGGTATAAAACCAAATGCTAAGTAAATTGGTACATAATATTATGTACATGATCTCTTGTGCATTCCTACTTGTTAATGTAGATATGTACCTTTCTTCTTTTTTTCCTACCTATTGCGTTTACCGTTCTTGAAGTTTATATTGATAAATATTACTTTCAAGAAAATGATTTCGTTTTAATGTTTTATTAAGTTTATCAATCTTTAGTAGATATAAATCATTTTGTAACCATTTAGTAAATGGTTTTAATTTAATATGTTTTATGTTATGCAAGAATCAACCATCGTTCTTAGATATTTACTGATATCTGGGGATATAACATTAACATGTCTCAAATTAATTTAACGAGTTAAACTCACTTTTCTTGTAAAAACAGTTGCAATTAATCTGGAAAAGATTTTGAGTTGGATAACTTTTAAAATATGTATTGGTTTTGCTTTACCATAGTTTTTTTATTCTTCGCTAATGGAAACAAAGTGAAGTTCGATGAAAATGAAGTTCACATGAAATAGATATTTTCTTTCTTTCTCGTAGTAATTTACATACCATTTTAACGTTGTTAAAGTATACCTACCATACGCAATGTACCTACTTTATAAGAGGTAGACGATCAAAAATCTTCTCATTATTTAATTTTAATTAAATAATGTAAATGAATAATTAATCAAGCACTTATTTGATAAGTGGCAATATGTACCTATATATTTAAAGAAATTAGAATAATGTAACACATATCCGCCTGCCAACTATTTGAAATTGCTCTTTTACTTTAGATAAAACTTTAAACGATAACAAAAATCGACTCCTCGTTGTGTCATACCAATAGAAATAAAGTCTGATTAATAAGACACTGAAAATCTAAGAACAAATTAAATTCTAGTTTGTTATACTAACGAGACAAAAGAATCTTTCGCATTAAACCTACAATCAAATCATTAGGTAGAAATTCTCAGTCATGCATTATTATTCTGTTATCTATATTAATCTATACATACTCGTATAATAAAATTGTAACTAAGTCGAATCTGTACATTAAATATTTTTTGGAAAATCTTATTGAACATCATTAATCTTATTGAACAGACATTATTATCAATACAGAGGCCGAATCTATAGTTTTTAGAATTTTTGTCTGTCTGTCTGTCTGTCTGCCTGTCTGTTACCACATCACAAAAAGACCACTGGAGGGATTTTGATGAAATTTGGTATGGTGATAGCTGGTTATCCGGGTCAACATATAGGATACTTTTTACCGGATGAAAATGTCTCATTTCTGAGAAAAAATAAAAAACTGTAATCTAAGAAGTATACCTACTAATATGTAAAACCTAAGAATTTGGTTTTTAGTCATCTGAACGCGGGCGGAGGGGCGGGCAATTCTAGTAATATTATAAAGTAAAGTTTGTGAGTTTGTGGCGTTGTAGGGGTTAATCTATGGATCTACTGAACCGATTAAATGAAATTTCGTAAGAAGATAGTTTGAGAACCTGGGAAGGACATAGGATAATTTTATACCCCTTAAGGGGGTGGAAATGGGAATGAAAGTTTGTATTGGGACCCAAGCTAGGGATGAACCCGAGCGAATCGAGGGTGATTCGCTAGTTTAGAAATAAACTTGGAAATTAAACATTTTTTATTAGGAATAAAGATTTGATCTATGACGCATTATTATGCAGCAATTCTGTTCAAATTGTCAGATTTGTATGCAATACATTTTTTTTCTGAATGGTAAAAAAAATATTACGCAGGAGTGTGAAACGTCGTCAATTATATTGCAAGGCTATAAAGAGAATTTCGCCGGTCCTCCTTTAATAGAACATTCGATGGACTGTACAGAGTGCACTGTTTCGATAGTTAAAATCAAATTACATAAGCTTTATGTTGTATTAATTGCAAACGCTACAATTATTTTTGGATCCATTATCGTTTCTGTGTCCTTTAATTGCCTGACCGCAGCATCATATTAAAAGGCTTTTAGGCAAAGGAAATTGATAATATAGAACATATTTTATTTTCATGTATTAAAAATGAATTCTCAATTCTTCGAAACTCATTTCAATTTTTTATGAGTGAAAAATTGGTAAAAAATATATATAGTTATGACACTGAGTTGAGCAAAATTTATTCGAATGACTAATAAAGAAAAAATAAATAAAATTGTTACTTTCGTTATTCACGAATAATAAATAATTTCATTTATTCAAAGAAAAATTATTCGAAAAACTTAATACATTAAATAATCCATTTATTTTAAATAGAAAATTTTATTAACTAGGTGAGTGCTAATGTACATAGAAAAACCTTAGAGATTTTTAGATACAATATTATTATTAGCCCTTTTAGTTTTAGGTACCTTTTAATTAAGTAATTAACCAGTCATTCATAATTTAATTGATATTCTCTTGTTATTGAATTGAGAGTAAAATAATGTCTACATGATTAAAATAGCGAATAATTTTGAACATACACAGTTAGTCTTGATCAATTTATTATAATTTACTACACATTTCGCCCCCGATTTTGCGCTTGCATATTTTTTAAATAATCTATCGACTTCTAATGTTAAATATGTATGTCTTGTAAAATTCACAAAGCTCAAATCACAAACGATAGATAGCTAGCTACGATACGGTCAAGATCTAATTATTTCTAGGAAATTATTTCTTATAACATAAATTTGAATAAGATTTCGTAAGCATTTCTAAGTATATCTGTATTTTATGGATAACACCGATCTTTATACATAAATACAGGATATTTTGTTTGCCTTAGCTTAAATATTGAATTTTACAATATATATTAGTGGATATTATTTTACAACAAATATTAAACATAAAAAAATTACTAAATTATACAAACAACAAATAAAAGCTATTGTGTCAAAGGTTATACCAATAACCAAAATTATTTTCACCAATCACGTCATACGGCGACAATAAATTTAAATTGTCATGCGCAGTGAAAAATATGTACTTCAATAGGAAATATTATTACGTTTTAAGAGTTCATAGAAGAAAGCTTTATCAGTCATCATCATTATTGAAATTACTATAAAAAAACTAATAAAAATCTATCTATAAATCTAATGTAACCGCTCCACAAACACCTAGATGAGTTTTTGAGGTTTACGATATCACAATCTAACTTTAGCTTTATAAACCAGATGGCTAGCTAGCGCTCGATAGAAGTATTTGAAAACACTTAACACATTCTATGAAACAAATACCATAAAAAAATAATCAATTATTAATAACGCATTTAAAAACGTCGATATTATACGTATACACAAAACGGAATTCGCTGTTGTAGTGCTTTAAAGAATCCAAAAAGATATTTTAGAACTGTAATTTCATCCTGGACAAAAAACTTACCTACGTTTCGGTGATCGAGGTTGGAACAAAACTTGCGTAAAGCGTACTTTAGCTCCCAGGCACACTTGAATGCATGCACCGCGTTATCAATTAGCTCAAGCGAGCATGATCCCGCGAACGAAATAGGTGTATATACGCCGCGTAAACAGTACAGCAAGGCCGGCGCCGACGGCGACCGCTAAGCGAATATCCCGTGAGAACGTTGTGCACGAGCGGCCACACGAAACGCTCAGATCGATACCGGTGCTGCCGCGCGCTCCCTTTCAAGTGCTCCACTAAATGAGACCGGACAGATGCTCGTTCGATCGACCCTGATAGCTGTGGGGTATTGCAAATTTATTGTAAAGATCCTATGTAACCGAATGCTCGACTGCAATGACAGGTTAAAGCAAGATATGCTTCTTAAATCCACATTACATATTAAATTATGAAGCAAAGGAGGAGCATAAGTGGCATAGAGCATGCGCGGTTTGTGATAGGCGCGGCGGTAGGGCGCGGGAGAGGAGGTGACGTGTGCGAGGAACAAAGCGAGGGCCCGCACCACCGTCGAGCGAAGACCACAAGCAGGCCGTACCTTACGCGAGATTTTACCACCACGAACAACACGCTATACCATCGATCATCGACACGCATAGCTCGCGACCTTAACATTTTACATCGCTAACCTATTTTCACTTCAAATTTTCTTTGTTGCAAAAAATAAAAGTTTTAATATATAATGAAAATTTTAAGGCAATGTCTGTCTAGTCTCTCTTACCGTGATTGTTTATCTATAGGTAGGTGAATGTAATAAAGTTGTAACAAGGTCATTTTATTGATTGGTTTAAGGCTTGTTTATGACGTAGAAACAATTTTGCTTTTTACACATTTTTTTTATTTGTTAAATTTAGCATCACTTGAGTAAATCCGGTCTTATTGTTGTAAGGGAAACAATCTAAGGGTTTTTGTTCTATACGTTTCCATAGTAAGCAAAAGGGTCATGATTAAGTGGTTGTTATAATTCTAACTAGATAGAAGCGAAACCTCAGGTTTTAATCAGTATGATATATAACATTCAGATACAAATACAAAGTAACGATTTGCGTTATCTATACCTACATTTAATCATTTACCTATAGTACAGTTTGTAGCCTAGTTTAAAAGCATAGCTCAGATTCATTTCAATCGATTGAATAGATGCTGGTAGAGATAACTGGAAATCTCCATACTATGCGGTCTCGTATAAATCTTTAGAGCTCAGTGGTACATTTTACGTAGCAAGTAACATGCAGAAAATAGTCTTTAAATTACAGGTATACTTCTAATCCTAGGTACGTTTTAACTTTTTTGAGCGGAACCCTAGTTCTTTTTTAAATAAAAGTAGGTAAAGTTGCTTCTTATAACATCAGCTATCACCAGTGAAAGTCTCGTCGAAATCAGTTCAGTCGTTTCGGAGATTAGCCAGAACAAACAGACAGACAAAAAAATTAAATATTGTGCTTTTTTTATAAGTACCGTATATAATTTAATATGAATTTAGAAAAAAGCTGTTGCTTTGACATTACAAACAGATACTTCAATTTTACTTATCTGTAAAGATTGAAAAGAAATCCTTACAAACATCTAAGGCCACGATTTGAAAATCCCATTAAACATTTTGCTTTTGATAAAATATATCAATAGCTATCATAATGAAAAAAAATAATGGAAAAATCTGATAATTGTGAGTCTGACTCGCATATCGAGGGTTCCGTAGTATGAAACATTAAATAAAAAAATATTTTTTTGTGATGTTTTTACAAATTTTGTTGACAACGAAGTAATCGTATAAGGGTTCTTTTTTATTTTTGAGATACGAAACCCTAAAAATAGATACTGATATGTATATTTAGCTTTATCAGATTATATACGTAATATAATTGACCTATTAGAAAAATTACTAGCTGATTAGTTCGCCGTACCTACACAATAGGTTCATTAGCAGACAATCCTTTATAAAAGAGCGAGAGAATTTAAAGTGGACAATAGGAGAGTTACCTATAGTTTATATAACCTATAATAATAATTTTTCAGTTTTAAAATCTACAAAAATATACATTTACTAACGACTCATCCTCGCTCGGGTTCGTCCCTAGGCACGTTTTAAGGGATAGATATATGGAATAGATAGACTATATGTACTTTATTTATACTAATATTATAAAGCGGCAAAATTTGTTTCTTTGTTTGAACGTGCTAATCTCAGGAAGTACTAATCGGATTTGAAAAATTATTTTTGCATTAGATAGCCCGTTTATTCCGTTCAGTATCAGTGCCACCTACACTTGTCTTGTCCTTCTCAGTGTCAGAATTTTCACATGTAAGCTTGGTACTATGCAGCCAAAAAAGTATGGTAGATTTAAAAATAAACAAAATACTTTAATATGAACTCTTAAGTATTAATCTTTTACGGAAACTACCTTAATAATTTTTAATTCTGTGCTCTTGAAAAAAACATGAACTTTTTTCATGTCTTTTTTTCACCATAGAAAATGTTTTTTTTTTTCGATCAGAACCTAACTCTTTTTTAAAATAAAAGTAGCCAAAGTTACTCCTTCCAGCTACCTGCCAGTGAAAGACCTGTTAAAATCAGTCCAGCCGTTTCAGGGAATAGTCGAAACAAACACACAGACAAACAAAAATTTTAAAAATTGTGTTTTACTTATCGTATATAATTTCATATGAATTTAGTAATAGAAAAACTTAAAAAAACCGACATCCAGACACTAAAATGTAAAAAATAACTAAACGGAGGTTTTCATTTAGAATAGATACCTAAACAGATATTTTCGAAGTCGATGCCAGCCGATGCAAAGCAAATCTAATATATTTCGATACGTAAAATACATATTTACAAAAACTTTTTAACAAAAAAATAAAAATCGACTTCAAACAAAAGCACTAAAAAGTAGAAAATAACTGATTGGTAGTTTTCATTTACTATACATACCTAATCAAATATTCTCGAAGTCGGTGTGCTTTGCTTTGTATCGGCTGACACCGACTTCGAAATTGTTTGAAATTTGAAATTTAGTTCGATTTTTACGAACATTTTTACCCCTTCAATTTTCAAGACACAAATTAGCACTTAAAATCCGGCATTTCGATTTTTTGTAATATCCGTATCTAACGACGCATGAATCATTAAAATCACTTTAGCTATTTAGTAATTACGAGGGAGCATAGAATCGGACATAGACATGTATTATGTACATAGTACATACCTACATACAGGTCAAACTCATAATCCTTCTTTGGTCTTCGCCGCAGTCAGTTAAAAAAGTCATTAATTTTTGAAGTAAATCGGGCTAATACTTTTATTCTTACATACATTTTTTTTGTTAAATAAATTTAAAGTTGCCTTTGTAAACTAAATAAATAATATATAAGTATCTTTATAAACAGACTGGTTGTTCGTTTTATTGCCGTGCGTGGCGCTTGTGTTCTCTATAATATCATCATTGTAAAAGGAATGTTGTGTTGTTTATTAGAAATAAATATTGGTTTAAATTACAAGAAGTCTCACTCAATTTTATTGAAAAATACTTGTAATCCAATATTTTCCTTCTACCTCCTTATATGAGAAGGCAGTTTAAATATTACCTATATAAAAGTGCAAATATGGATTTTAAGATAATCTTTGGATTTATCTTATCTCAATCACATAAAATAATAGCACGTAATCTTAAAGAATATAAATACCTATTAAATAACTAATCTTAATAGCAAATCAACTGACAGTTGAGTAAAATACCTATTCAAATTTTCTTTACACCAAATACTATCTATCTATCAGCGAAGGCGTGGTAGCCCGCCCAGTGGCAACGCGCTCACCTGCGAAACCAAGGGAAAATGGTGAAGTTCCGGATCTCGCACCTCTGATGTTTTCCTGTGCGGGTTATTTTAGACAGGACTACCACTTGTCCTACGGTGAATAAAAAAACCGTCATGAAACGTGTCTGCACCTAGCAAGTTTTAGAAAGACAAGTGTAGTCAACCTGCACTTAGCGAGCGCGGTGGACTATGGCTTGATTCCCCTCTTATTAAGGGGATACTCGTGCCCGGCAGTGCGATGTTAAAATTATAATATTTTTATAGAAGTATTTTTGTGGACTTTTTAACTAGTTTTTGAACTAGAACTTGTGGGTTATTCTACCCAGCTATAATGTGAGCGAACGTCTGCTATAAAATTTGAGATCTATTTATCGAAAACATGCAGTTTGTGCGCGGCTTGCGGATGGCAACTTTGTTATGCGTCCTAGCAAGTATAAAACAAGTATATGGCATGTCTGTTAGGTTGTTCGAATTGTTTCTTTCTTGGTAGCGTCATCCAGATTTTAAAAATAATTAATGAAAATAAACGAATATGTCTTCCTGATCAATTATTTATTTGCATGGACGTAGAAAAATAAAAAAACAGTAGAAAGATGTGATCTCTCAGAAGACTGCGATGTTAGCGTATCTGATAGAATCAACAATTAAGAGATTCAGTCAGGTCAAAAGTCTCAGGACACTCTTCGAGCGTGTGAAGTTAAAAATTGATTCAATAAAATAAGTTAGGAAATATGATAGACAGCTTTAGGAATAACTAGTTATTGAATATCGATCTTACTAGCTTATGATATTAATATTATAAATGCGAAAATTTGTGAGGATAGTATGAATGGGTGTTTTTGTCTTTCACGAAAAAGTACTAAACAAATTTTGAAGAAACTTTATAGTAACAGAGCTTACCAAATAGGCTATAATCTAGCAACCCACCCTCGCCTCGCTCAGATTCGCTAGGTACGTTTTGACGCTTAGTTATATATTTTTTTTGTGAATTTTTTTGATGTTTTAATAGTTATTCTGCTTCGGGATGGAGACATATCAAAAAAAAACAAAGATCATGAAAATCGGTCCAGCAATTCTCGAGTTATAGGTGATGTAACAAAGCCGACTTTGTTTTATAAGGAATATTAGCTTTGGCATAGTTAAAGTTTATATGGAGAAAGACTGCAGAAAGCTACAATTTATTGATTTACATTTGCTTGCGGTTATGATTCCGCTTATAAAAGATGCAGCGTGATGTGGGATACTCTATACCTTTATTAATTTTATACTAATAGGTATATAAAACTAAAACAACATTTAGACCTTATAATCTACTAGCAGAAGACGCGGCTTCTCTCGCGAAAAACTACAAAAAATCTCTAAAAAGGTAGGTTCCATACAAACTTTCATCTCCTATTTTACCCCCTTATGAGATGAATTTTAAAAAAAGCTAAAACACGAATTTATTTAATTGTATTGAAGAGCATTAATACCAAGTTTCAAGTAATTCTGATCATAAATATTTTTTTGGATTGTATTATAACGTGTTCTCCCGTGGGAATTAGATAATCTCCCGCTGTAAAAAGTAGCCTCACTACTCTTTAGCCTTCCAACTATCTCCATACAAAAAATCACGCCAATCTGTCACTCTGTTTCGACGTGAAAGAAAGAAAGATAAACAAACAAACACACTTTCACATCCATAATATTAAGTATTGATTTATTCAGGAAGTCTACAGGCTAATTATGTAACATTGACAAAAGAACCTCATTAACGTTCTAAGTTAATGAATTATGGTTCATTTTCGACCATGGATCGATCACTAGTAT